CTCGGGTCATAATATTTCTAAAAATTGGTCGGCATATAATGGCACCGACTTCCCTATCAAAAGTTGGGCGAAATCGAAATAAGATAAACTTACGATATGATAACACTTTTTATCTCAGAGCGAATAAGTAGCATACTTGTTTTCCAATAAAACTTTGGTCTTAGCTAATTTTTAAAATGGCTGTTTAATCAATCTTCAAACATACTTACGAGATCTGAGATGAAAAGTTGTAGCAAACAACTCTATCATAGACGATATGTTTATCTTTGTTCCGAAATACTGAAAAATAAAGATATTATGAAAATCGAGGAAACAACACAAACATAGAAATAACCAAAACATAAATCATTCAAGCTGCCTTAAAATCCTACATTTTTTATCAATTGACAAACTGATCGGGGGTTTAAACATATTGCCACCCGATTCTGAAAAGCAAAAAACAAAGAAAGCCCCAAAAGTTCTGATTTAAAAACTAAAAGCAAAATAAGATAGGTCCACGAGCAAACATGTCAACCTTCCTTGCCGATATCATCTTTGTCTACGCCACTGCTCTCTCCGGGTTCCGGAACAGAGTTCTTCATCTGCTCGTGAAACGTTTTCAGTGCAGCGGCCTCTTTGGCCCGGGTGGCCGCTGCAACGGCGTCGTCAGGAATCAGATTGGATTTAGCCTGCTCCTCGGCATCTCGCACTCTTGGACCCGTTTCAACTACATCATACCCGCGGGCCAGAGACTTAGTCTTATCAGCAACATACTTCTCAACCGATCTCCGAATTGCTTCGGGAGTCATTTTGTGGAAGCCTTGATCCACAGTCACTTCGGCCAAAGTCTCCACAAACATATCGGCAAGCTTTCCTCTCTTCTCTTCCTCTCCTTCTAGTACCATATTAACATATGCCCAGCCGAGAGCTTTCGCACGTTCTTCAGAGAGAGGAAGGAAGTCGGGATTATCATCCATCGCCTCAAACCGACCTAGGCGCCACTCGCAGTACTCCCGCTCATCCTCATCTACGGGAATGTGCGCGACTTTGATCTCCAGATCGAAACCATACTTAGCAAGTTTATGGAAAAGGAACACCCGCAAATCATGAAAATCATAAAAGTCGTGCTCACAGCGTTCAATCATCCAACGTAGGTTGATACGCGTATTCATCTCCAAGTCAAGATCCAGCCCTTCTGCATCCTCAATGGGCCCATCATCCGCTTCCCATCTCGGTCATCGGGTCCCAAGCCATCATAGGGACCCGGGCCGCATCTATCACATGTTCAGGTAGATCTGTCTTCGAGGTAATACGAGGCACCCTAACCTACTGGAAGGTTGAATACCACTCCTCAACAGTTCCCTTAGAAAGATTAAAGTTAGCCTCTCTCTCTTCATCGATGCTAAGAAAAGCTCTGTCCACGAGCGGCGAGGTCTTTTCGAGGTCTTTTCTGCTTTACCCTTGCCCTTATGACCACGGTCATGTCTTTTCTTAGACCTCTCCTTGGTACCAGCGGGAGTGTCTTCAGTATATCTTTTCTTCAACTTTCTCTTCTCTGGTCGGGCACTCTGCTCCTCTCTCAGCGTCTCGATAACTGCAGCTTCGGTGATCCTCGGGATTACGGTATCCTCCGGGATAGACACAGTTCGTACCAAGGCTTGCTCAGTACCCGCTGGATTCTCCGAGGTCATCAGATTAGTAGTTTCAGCAGCGGCGGTGTTCGCTGCACCAACTAAGGTCTCACCCTCCTAACGACGTTCGGGGCTCTCCAAATTAATTACTGAAGTCGCACCAGCTCCGACTTCAGCGGCCTGGCGCCCATCAATGCCCTTACGAAAGCTTTAACCAAATTCCTCCTCATAGCGTCGGTTAATCTTTGCGATCGACTTTTACCGAACTTCGATAACAACTCCTTGTTTCGAAAGTGTCGTCTAAAATCTTTTGCGTCTTCAACACTGTCATACCCCGAAAATCCGAGAAGGCGATAGTATACTACATTCAATAAAAGTTAAATCTCGTTAACCGGCCTACTATATAAACATATTGACCTTAATGGAAAAATTAAAAATACACGACTACGTACCTGGGTCAAATGTGGCAACCAAATTTTCAGCCTTCACGGTCAAATCTGCCGCCTCGAGTTTTGACTCCACTACCAAATCCTTGCAGCTGCGATTCTTTTTCTCTATCCGAAAGAGCTCCAACAGTCGGCCTCCGAATTTCGGACTAAGTTTCGGCTCTTTCTTCCTTTTGGCTACAAACAGGAAAAGTTCCAACCTGTTAGTACACAAAATAACAACTCATCAGACAGCTATAACAACTTGTTAAATACTTACGATATTCAGAGATGATTTTCATAGGAATCGCCATCCCGTCAATAAGAGGTCCGTGAACCGAGGCGTCAAATTGCCAATCACCCCCAACCCAGAGCCATTCTTCTTAAAACCCATGAAGGGTCTCAGGAATATCATCAATCAACTCGCTGATTTTGAAATCCTTTGTGGTCTCTCTCCAGCGAAAAAACAGCAAGAAGACTCTGCAACTTTCGGACTCGGACTCTTCTTAAAGGTGTAAATACTCCTTATATCGTCCCGAGAAGGCGCTTTCCAACCTTTTTCATTCAAAAGGATCATCAATACGATAATCCTCTTCCAGCTATTAGGGGTGATTTGGCAAATGTTCAATCCCCAGTCGTGTAAATACTCTATAATCATATTGGGGAGAGGGAACCTAAGCCCCGACCTCAAGCTGTCGGCAAACACTCCTACGCAACTGGGTGGAGGGCATACGATCCTCTCACTGGGATACGGAGCAAATAATTTAACCGAGGACGGAGCCCGAATTTGATCACGCAGCAGAACCACGTCGGCGTCGATCAATATGCTCGGCTCTCCCTAAAAATCGACTTTAACATCTGGCCATATCCTTATCGGCCTTCTCCAGTTGTTCAAAACGGTCATCGCCCTATTTTAGACTTCCTCGTCTTCTTTGACACTGTTTAATTTTATCTTGAGGTGCTCCATAAGCATTGGATACCACCGGTGATATTCTAACAACAATTCCATCAATTCGGAATCTACTATAACAGTCTCCTTGGATATAGTCCTACTGCTAGATGCCTCCCCACTCCTCACCGCGACGCCATTTCCGCAAGAAAAAGAAATATACAAAGCGAACGATGAATTAAGAAATAAAGAAGTTTAAGGTTATGGCTTACCGTAGGAACGGCGAGTGAAACAATATCCGCAATATAAATCAGTCGAGCGTAAAGAACGATGAAGGAATTAGTACATATGCATGAGAGAATATGAAATAGAATTAAAACAGAAGATGCAAGAATCGCAGATAAAGAAGCAAAGGTGAAAACCTAAATTATTTCTAAGTCCAACATTTTATACTCTTTTATTATGACCATTACTGTACATTTTGGGGACGCGTGGACGCACTCGCGATCTCCAAACGACGCGACCTTTCACTTTTCTTCACCCAATACCAGCGCACCACGTGCTGGCCTATATATGTATCCGTTGCAACTCTTCAATGCTAGAGCGTCTTTTCACGAGCTGTCCTCTTAATGCCTTATGTCTACGACCGTTACAAAATTTCGCCAACGACCCGTTACGGTTTATGCCCCCCGTAGAACATGCCTAAATTTCGCCAAGTGTTGACACCTCGGAATACAGTGCCAAATAGAAGATACAGAACACGAAGGACCGACGTCAAAATTCATTCCCAAGTCGGACTCAAAAATATTTAACGACTCTAGCAGCTATCACTTGCGTATACCTACTAGCGCCGGGGGCCTCTCTGTTGACCACCGACTTGGTAATATTTGGGCTATTCATAAATCAAACCGAATTGCAGACGAATTAGTTATAATGACGTTGGCCTCCAGGATAAACTTTATATCGTCAAACAACGCAAAGGGTGTCCCCTTCATAAACATTATCTGACCTCGAAATCACGCGTCTTTACCGACATGACAAACCGCTGGAACCAACGTGTCAAGTCCGACGTGTCAAATAATTTCGGTCGTCACCGACTTCCCAAAGTTCCCTCCACCGACGTGACAACAAAACTCAGATATAACCGAGTTCATCAGTTCCAAAGCAGGTGACGAGATGCCTACGCGACGTCCTTACGTTCCGTGCCCAACGTCATGATGACCGTGGGCCCAACTATCATAACCGCCCACTAAAAGCCACTTTTTGCATAATCCCAAATTATTGGAGGATCTTGAACATCGTGTAACAAAAAATTTACTATATACAGCTTGAAATTCCCTCAGTAGAGAGGAGGACTTCTGTTTTGCATTCTGTACATCTTCACTTCGGTTGCCATACCACCGACCATATATTAATCAATAAAAATCCTAATCTATTGCTCTTTTTTGTTATGAAACATGTAATTCCACATTATTTATGTTGTTACAAATCCATACGACAACAAGGATGCTGAGATATCTGCAAGCCACGCTCTATTTTGGACCTTATATTACAATAAACAAAAGTCTTAAGTTGGTTAGATTTTCTGATGATGATTGGACATGTGACAGATTATAGGAAATCAGTTACAAGTTCTTATGTATTCCTTTGTGGAAATCAGATTGCTTGGAGGTTAAAGAAAGAAAATGCAATCTCAAGGTCAAGCGCATAAGCTAAATATAGAAGTTTGGCTCACACAACTGCAGAAATCAGCTGGATTCAGTATTATTGCATGAGATAGGCATGATCATCGACAACACTCTTGTAATTTGAGTAAACAATTTGGGTTCTATAGCACTAGTTTGGAATCCTGTTGCACATGCTCGAACTAAACACATAGAACTTGAAAAACACTTTTTCAGAGACAAGATAGAGAAAGTAAAAGTGGTTGTTCAACATGTTCCTTCATGTGATCAACTTTCAGACATTTTCACCAAGCCGTTAAACTTTCATTTCTTCACTCAGCTTCGAAGTTCTTTAGGAATTTGTGATATAACCTCACTTGAATTGAGGGAGCCTGTTTAACAAACTCATAACATGCAACGGTCCAATGTGTGCAGTCCAAAGTGCACTCCAAATCGGCCCATGATAGAAAATGTAAAAGTGGTTGCTCAACATGTTCCTTCATGTGATCAACTTGCAGACATTTTCAACAAGCCGTTAAGCTTTCAATTCTTCACTCAACTTCGAATTTCTTTAGGAGTTTGTGTTATCACCTCGCTTGAATTGAGGGAGCCTGTTAAACAAACTCATAACATGCAACGGTCCAATGTGCTGCAGTCCAAAGTGCACTCCAAAGCAGCCCATGCAGCCCACGGCTATTTTCAGCTGTTGTGTATCGTCTCATCCTCATTGATGGATTGTGGTCCATTAGGATAGGTGTATGGTTAAGATTGATGTTGTGTCATTCTTGTAATGTTTTGTTCTTATCCTACATAGGTTAAACACTGCATTTAATACCCAAGCAATGTAACAGTGTTGGCTATTGAAAAAACAATATTGAGCTTTCAGTAATAGCTTTGGCAAAATTTCTCTATGGCGTCATGTACTTTATTATCCTTGTGTTTTTCTTTCATAAGTTAATTCCAAACATAATATAAAGTGGATATATCATCTCGTGCTCATTAGAGCATATCCAATCTTATAACTTTGAAAGACAATGATTTTTAACACATGCCAATAAATTATTGTAATGTTAATCCACATAGAAACAATGTTAAAAGAACATAAATTTGAATCAAACTAGTATCTCTAATGCATCAATTTGATAAGAAGCTATTTGTATAGGTGGACCAAATAAAATAAATATTAATAGAAGAATAATAAGAAAATAAATCAAATATAAAGTGAATTGATGAATCATCATGTTTAACATGGTGTTAGATATTAGAAAATTAGCTCAACATTGTCAACATTAAATGTTATCCACCTTATCATGAAAGTGTTCATGACAAGATGCATTGTATAATAAATTAGTAACGCACTTTCAAAAGTTGATGATATGGATGATTTTTGATAATGTCAAAAGCCACACTAGAAATGCTCTTAAGAAGATGAGAGTGGACATTAAATTTTCTTTAGTGTCCCTCAAAGATTTATTTATTTATTTATTTATTATTTGTAAGGAATTATAGCGTATATATGGAGTTTATGTGATCAAGGAATGAAAATTTGTATTATACTATTGGTTTGTCTAAAATTTCAGTATCTTATTTATATAATATTATAGAGGATCACATCCCCTCTATATATAATTTCAAAATGCGTTGAGCCCACGTGACAAATTCTCATGCTTCGGAATCGTATTTGGCAAAAAATCATGCTTTGGAGTTAGGCTTGAATATAAATTAATATTTGTATTAATTGTATTTTAATATAATTTCCTATTATAACCATTGAATTGTAAATATATTTTAAAAGTTGATAACTTTTGTATTCTTTATCGGTTTTACATATATAATATATCAAATTAATCATCTTTGATGAGTTTAGATTTGACATTCATATTGTATATATAAAATAATAGAAATTGGTATGTATTCTTTTAAAAATGATATTTATTTCAAATCTAATTGGTATGTTGTCAATGTAATGAAAAGATAATTATTTATATAAATTCTAAAATTACATATAAAGTTGAAAAATTGTGAAGCACGACTGATACGACACTTGATGTATTAGGTATCTAATGAAGTAAAAAAAAAAAAATCTATTTTGCTTAATATTAAATAAACATATTCTACACTTATGCATATACATATCATTATATTATTTTTATTTATTTAAGAAATATATTTTTGTACTTATGAAATAGTAAATATTATAGATATTTTCATATGATATAAGTAAAAAAATTCAACACGGGTTGACATACATTCCAAAATAAATAGGGTTCTTATATGTTTTTGCTTAATCTTGCTTATCCGATCCCCTCCAACTCCAAAATAAATAGAATTCTTATATGATTTTGTTTAATCTTTGCCGAAATCGGTGTGACCAAAACAAATCGGATTGCTTTCTCAATTTTTTTGCTTAATCTGATCCCTACAGAATTATAATACATTTTTGCAAATAAATAGGATTCTTATATGCTTTTGCTTAATCTTGCTTAATCCGATCCCCTCCAACTTCAATACGACACTTGATGTATTAGGCATATAATTAAGTAAAAAAATTAATCTATTTGGCTTAATATTAATTATACATATATATATATGCATAAGTGTAGAATATGTTTTATTTAAAATATATATATATATATATGTATATATATATATCACTATATTATTTTTATTTATTTAAGATATATATTTTTGTACTTATGTATAATATCGATATTTTTATATGACATAAGTAAAAAAATTCAACACGGGTTGATATTTTTATTTAATGTACGGATATTTAATTATTATGATTAAACAAATATAATTTGACATTTTAATTAAAACTCAAAATAATGTTTTATATAAAATTAAATTATTTTAATTTTTAAAAAAATAAAAAATCTAATATTTTTTACAAAAACTTTTTAATTTAATACCCGTGTAATATGCGGGTATTGTACTTGTAAGTGATTATTTATTTGTGTGATTTATGTTCATTTTAGAGATGCAATTGCATGCTTATTACAAACTCGGCATATGGTCAATAAATTAAAATTACCGGTCAATTTAAGTATGATAAGTGCAATAATATTCTCTATTTACACCTAAAGTCGTATCAAGGGGGAAAAAGAGTAGGAAAGATACAGAAAGGGGTGATTTTTTTTTAGGGTAAAGAGAATATTGTAATTGAAATTAGTTTAGTCATAAAGCTGAAACTACATTTATTATAAAATATAAGACAAAATACACTTTTGTTTTTACTAGTTTTTTTACTTATTTGATAACCTATTTAACTTTTTGGCGAATTTCATCTTTTCCATCGACTTGACAAAACGTCTTGCTGATGTCGATGTTACAATGAATGTAGTTTAGAAAGGACATTTTTAATTTTTCGCTTATTAAATCCAACCCTTTTAAGTACCATAAATAGAATCATTTATTTAAATAAAAAAAAAAACAAAAAATAAGTGGAAAAAAATAATTCAACAAAAAAGTGTGTGGAAAAAAGTCTAACAGCAATTCTGAGAATTCGTGTTTTAAGGAAACACGGATTCTCAGAATCCGTTTTTCCTTAATTCTGATGGAAAAACGGATTTTCAGAATCCGTCTTTCCTTAATGACGTGATTACCCTTAATTAATTCAACTAAAAACGTGTTATGAAAATCCGTGTTAACTACAACGGATTGTGAAAATCCGTTTTACCCAACACGGATTCTGAGAATCCGTGCTTATTTATTTATTTATTTATTTATTATTTTTTATTTTGTTATAAACACGGATTCTAAGAATCCGTGTTAATGTATTATTTTATTTATTTATTATTTTTTTTAAGTTAGGCTCGACTCTTGGATGCTCACGAACTCGTTTACCAGCGATCGCGTTTATTTTGGCTGAATTTTTATTCTTATCCTTCAATATGAAGGTTTTTTATAAATTTTGATTTAACATTTTGAACATGAAATAATATCACTTTAATATCAATTCATTCGTCAAATTATAAATCTAGCTTGCATACATACTTGAAACACTATATACAAAAAGACAACCACAATTACCGACAAAAGAAAAGTGAACCACAAAATATGTACTCAAAACCATCAAGAATAAATATCTGAAAATCCAGTACAAAAAATAAAAGAGAAAAAGAAAATGTCTACAAATTCACAGAATACAAAACAAACTAACTAGGAGTAAATGTTTTCTTAGGTTGGCGTTTTCGGGACCCTCTCCGAGGCCCCGGTACCAAAGAAGACGATCCTGCTGTCGGTCCAGGTGTGGCTGGTTCTTCTTCTTCTTCACCGAATTAATTAATTTTTGTAAAAAATCAGTAATTCGACCGGATAAATAAATAAAAACAAACAAAAATAAAATATATATTTGTAGTTAAATAAAAAAATCTCACCTTCTTCGTCTTCTTCATTCCCGGGGGATGTAGCGGCAGGTTTGCGGTCACGGCGTCTTCTCCCTCCACCAATGTGGGGCGCCGGTCTATGCCTTGCGCGCTGGGACTGTGTCTGCTGGGGTGGGGCGTACTCCTCTTGAGATAGAATTTGCTCCGACGACGCCCTTTGTATGACCGACTGACCCACAACAGTCAGAGAAGCGTACAGAAGTTCTTGGGCTTGCTGGAACCGTGCCTGCGCTCGGGGAGGTAGCGTATCAATGTCTTCAATTTTCGATAGCATGTTATACGCCCCCTCCGTACTCGAATTCTGAAAATAAAATTCAAATAACTATCAAATAATAATAATAATAATAATAATAATAATAATAATAATAATTACTTTAATAATAATAGTAATAATAATAAAAATAATAAAAATCACAAATTAGCAGACACTTACATGACACTTCTCCCGGTCAGCATATGGCTGAAACCCGCCGTCCTGTGAGATCGCCGCGTAGTTGTTAGGGTCATTGAATAGTCTCACAGTCCTACTGTGATACCAATCAATGTACCCCTCCCAGTCATGCCCTGGCCTTTGTGGCGGGTGTCCCAGTCGGCCAGACTAGTAATGATCGGCGTCTGGGGGATGGGCTGGTGGCACCGAAACTGGCGGAGCACTCTATCAGGCTGGTGGGGTTCCACGATGTTCCAGCAGAAGATCCACCCCTTGTACATCCAGAGATGTCGGTCTCGTGTACACTGGTCCGGGAGTCGACCCTCGTCTATGTACGTCTGATAGGGTACCCAATCGAACTGTAAAAAAAAACATTCATAGAATTATTAATGAATTTAATTAAAAAATAGAATTAAAAAATAATAATTATTTATTATTATGACCTAAGAAACTTATATCAGCCTCTCTCATGCCACTTAGTTGATCTGGGATGGCAGCCGTGCCCGTCCCCAGGTGCCTCGTGTCCGTCGATCCCACCCACATTAAAAATCACAGAAAAAAAGTATTTGTAAATACAAAATTTGATAATTGAAAAAACTTAAGTGTTGAATATAAATAAAGGATATTATTACCTTGCACCCAAGGGACAACCAGCCTGAGAGCCGAAATGCGTTTTTCTCATGAATGGGCGAATACGAGGGATGCGTTCCCATGCCCAAACCTGCACATATGGACATATACATTTTTTAGCATATATTATTGTAATTTATAATAAATAAAATTAATTTGCAATTAACAAGTAAATAAATTTACCTAAATCAACTGCACGCAGCTCTTGATATATTTTTCGTCCCCCTCGTAGGCGTCGCAGAGCGCTCTATATACCCCGGCCAGAAGCGTTCCACCCAGCTGTACCCCGGAATGGCATCGATGACATTCAACAAGGACAGCCAGTAGAGGTTGACTCTGTTGCCCCGATGGTCGGGGAAGAAGAAGGACCTAATACACCAGAGTATCAGGGCTCTCGCCCTCTTCTCGTACTCTGATGTAGTGAGTCCATCCTCCAGAGGTCGCTTGCACTCCTCTTCCAGACTACTGAAATACAGGTACTGGCCTGAAATGTCCCAAGTCTTGGGGTCGTAGTCCTGGTCCCCGAGATCCTTGAAATACGTTTATATATATATATATTAAAAACGACCCATGACTTAAGTATACATAAACACAATAATAATAAAGAAATAGCAAATAAAATTTTTAGGTAAAACAAAATAATAAAAAGAAAATAAGCAAATAAAAGTTTTAGGTAAAAATATACCTGTACATATGGGAGGTACCCTGGAGCGTCCACCTAATAGGCTCTCCACTCTTGGGGCGTCCGCTATACGGTCTGTCTCCAGCACGCTTCCCCGCTGACGGGGAGGCCAAAGAGTATCTGAACGTCCTGGAGAGTGATCGTGGCCTCCCCGAATTTGAAGTGGAAGGTGTGCGTCTCCGAACGCCACCTCTCCAGCAGGCATGTAATGAGGGAATTGTTTGTCGGGACCCGCCCCATCCGAAACAAAGGCCCAAAGCCGGCCTTCTCGATCACCTCCCAGGTCCGGGCATTCTGCTTTTTGCCCTCCAAGGCAGCCCAAAACTGAGTGTCCGCACGGCGTGGCTTAACTACGCCGTGGCAAAACCCCGGTGCGTCCTCATATACCGCCTTGGACC